GATTTGCTCACTTCCATTTCATTTTGTAAAGTAGCTGGTTGAAGGCAAGCAGGGGTGGAGAAAATGTTGTAAAGACTAGATGTATGTATAATGTTCTATTACATAAAGCCTATTTTTATAACTATAATATCTACCACTTACATTTACCATTGTTATGTGCCAGGCACTGAGATAAGAGTTTTATTAATACTACTACTACTGTTATCACCTCATTCGATCCTCATGACAACACTATGAGGTCACTATTGCTAAACACACTTTACATGGATGGAAAGGAGAGCTCACAAAGTTCAGTGATTCCCTCTCATGCCCACTACTGTGGTGATCCCCTAATCCTCCCTCTGCCTCTAATCTTGCCCTGGAGACAAAGAATCATCTGAGAAACTGAAATTAGAGTGGTCTTCCAAATAAGTAACATTTCTGGCCACTCTCCTCCATTCCTCCTAGACACACTCTCACTCACCTCTAATTTTCTTTAGCCTGCCATTATTAGGTAGGGAGCCTACAATCCTATCCACCAACATCTCCTCACAGCAGCCCTGGAGGGAGACCTTCATAAAAGTTTCAAACTTACTAATAGAATAAACTGTAAGTCCTCATCATCTGGCCCCCACCCCTCCTGCTCTACCTCTCCTGACTCCCCATCCTCCTCTGGGGTTGATGCTTCAGCCGTGTGCTCTCTCTGCAGTGCCCACCACTTCTTAATCAAATACCTACTCCTCATTTGCAAACCACCCCTGAATTCCTTCACTTATTAAGTAGACAAATAGTGCCACTTTGTGCCAGGCCCCACGCAGGGTGCTGAGGATACATCAGCGATTGGCGCTATTTTAGAAAGTCAAGCCTTATGAGCGGCATTTTGTTAAAGAGACAATGACAGCCACTCCGGTTGTTCAGAACCCAACTCCTATTTCAGTTCCAGCTTATCCACCGATACTCCAATTCTTCAATTTGGTAATTATAAGCCTAGTATTCCCAAGTGGCTATGTTAATCATTTCACTTTCCCAAAATACAATAAAACAAACTCAAACATACCCCTTCTTCAGACAAACACGCAAGACGATCTATGAGCTCGGGGTTAGCAGTCAGGCTTTTTATATATTCTTCACCTGAAAAATAAGTTTTTTGTTCTTGATAAATTCAAAATTCTTTTCTCTAGATATGGAAAAACATGGATTTTATCTTGTTTGTGACAGAAGCTATGTCAATTTTTTCTTTCCTTTTTTTGGGGGGGTGGAGCACTAAGGTGGTCATGCCCAAGAGGCAGTGGGTCAAGAATATCTATGAGCTTCTGTTACTGAGCCAATTCCAAATGCTGACAGGGAACTTAACAGCCACTGGTGGCACAACTCAGCTTAGAAATGCTGAGAACTTTAAAAAGTACAAAAATACCACATTGTTATACAAGACTATGAACATATCAAATACTGGAGTGAACACCTGACTGTGGGCCTCGTGATAATTTTTGTACACATTTGAGAACATAAACTAAAAGTTTTGTCTACATGAAGACTTACAAGTGAAAGCTGGTATCCCCTCCTCTATGGCTTTCTCTTTGTTTTTCCTGTCATTTGTTATGAAGATAACTTGCAGCTGATTCTCTGCTGACAGTTTCTTCAAATGTTCATTGTACCATTTTGCTGCTACTCGAATGGCTCTGTCATTCCTGTCATTAGAATTTTCTCCCTGTTCTTGCTCTACATAAGTTTCTCTAAATGTAAAGGAAAGGAAAAAAAAAAAGAAAGAAATGGAAATCAATAGAATCAAGCATATGTAAAAAGTCTTAGGACATAAATGCTTATTAACCACTAAACTTAAAAGTCAATGGTAGGGAAAAAAGTCCATGGTACATCTTTTTCTCTTGAATGTATTCACATTTATACCTCAGAGAAGAAATATATAGGATCTTTATAGTGAAGTTTTTAAGACAACAATTTGCTTGGAAAAAAAGAAAGTCATATTATTGATAGAACAATAAAAAGGCTAAAACAAATTTATTTCACCAAAAGAAAAAATTCAACATCACAATTTATATTTTAGATGGGGATATTAAATAAGTAATGCTTTGTTTAAAAACTATACTAAAACTTTGCAGGTCCGACAATGAGACTCATCCAAACTGTGGGTTAACAGGAATTCCTAAAAGCTACCAATTGTAAGATTAGATGATTTATGATCATATAATTCATCCATAGTTATTAAAAACATATGCACCTAAATTATCCATGGTAAACACTAAATGACAAGCTATCTACAGACTGAAAGACCAGATATAGATTTGATTACATATTCCTTCTAAGTCTATCCACTCTAAGCTCCCAAACACATCAGCATACTTATTTCTTTAAATCTGTTCTTCAAAGCCAAATTTAAATACAGTAACAAAATTCAGTACAATAACTTTCACCTTAAGGATAAGAGCTTAATTTTAGAATTTTACTTATTTATATTGCTTTCAGAATTACTTTATTTCTCACCACTAATACATCTCCTAATGCTTTCAAGCTTCTCAAAGACACTGTCATAAAGTTCTGAACTGGTTTTAGCATGACTGAGCAACAATTTTAGATGAGATCTGCCCAAGTGCCCTAATTCTTCCTGTCAACCCCCATATTGCTAAGCTCTATTCACTGCACTGAAGCTAACAAAACTGTTAATGCTGGATTAAAAATCCAATGATCATGCGCCACAAACACTAGGTCTTTCTGCATGGAAACATAGCAAAGTTTCTGGCACTGGGTTTGAAGGAGGAGATAGGAATAAGAAGTCTACTAGCGCTTTACTGATGTTCTTTATAAGAACAATATTTAAGTTTGAGATGTAAGAATAAAGAAGAGAAATTTGAGAAACTAAATATTTTTAATTTGCATATTCCAGTGGGATTTCATTATCAGGTCGACTATCTAACTAGCAGTTCTCTACCAGGTGATTTTGGCCCTCAGGGAACATTTCACAAGGTCTGGAGACCTTCTGCATTGTTACAACTCAGTAGGGGAGGGAAGGGGCGGGGAGGTTTGTTACTGGTATCTAGTGGGTAGAGGCCAGGGATGCTGCTAAACATCTCACAACGTACAAGACAGCCTTCGCAAAACAAAAAATTATCCAGTCCAATATGTCAGTGGTGCCAACATTAAGAAACCCTGATCTAATAAAAGTATACTAGGACTCATTATAAATTATTATTTAACGTAAGGAATAAGCAATATCCTATTTTCTAAGATCACGTTCAAAGGTCTTGAATCTGAAACATAAAAACTTCTACCTCCTAACCTTACCATCTTCAATGTGATCAGTTAGAAGGTATTAGTTTAACTTTTAAAAGCCCATTAAGAATATATCTGCTTTATATTTTTAAAGTTTTCCTTCATAAACTCTTATATCTTATTAATCTATGTTGGTTATTCACATAGTATGGAATTCCGGGAACCTAAGCAAATTTCACTTCCAAAATCCTATTGCTCAACTCATACTAAAACCAGTTCAAAATCTGGAAGTAAAAGTACCTACAACAGCCTAGGAGTCAGGAGACCTTGGTTCTGGGTTTGATCTAATCAATGCCTATGTAACTTTAGCAAGGTCCACTTGGCATTATCATCTGTAAACTGTGTAAGAACCAAATAATACTCTGAGAAGTATGAAGCCTATAGGGTATCTTCTGATAATGTCACAAATTACCACCAGAAACTCTCCCCCCAATTTAGCTAATTCTACAGTTTTCCGATAATTGACATAATTTCCCCCCTACCTATGGTGCTCATTAGTAAATGTATAAAAATGCTTCTCCTGGTTATTAGTCACATCTCGGATTCGTTTATACACGGGAGCACTCCGATTTCTCACTTCTTGGAGAACTGTTTGTAGCACAATGACATTTCTGATGGCAGGGTCCTCAAGGACATCAATCTTTAAAATAAACAAATAAAAGAAAAGAAGAGTTAGTTTTTCCTATTTTCACTCATAAATTGTTTCTGTTGAACATAAACCCCTGCTGGTTTAAAAAAAACACTAAATGCACATTAAACTAAGGAGCTATTTTGCAATAGAAAATCCTTCAGGTCGACGAGAGATGAACACATGTAAAGAAAACTACAAAATTGTAGAATTAACTCTACTAATAAAGAAATACGTTGGCCCACATAGTTTTCGTTCGTAGGCACTTACAAGCTGCCTGGGGGTCGCAGGCTGGAGGCCACAGAAGCCCAGGTCCCCGGCCTCCAAACATAAAAATCTAAGGCAGAAGAGACATCAGGAGTTAGACAATTAACGTTATCTAAAATGCTTACAACTCCAAAAACTCAAAAAATTGTAAGTACATGGAAAGGACCTCGGTCTGGCGGGTAGGAGGCTTGCGCCCCGATGGGGTTTACCTCTCCCTAAGTACGTGACTTTGCCCAAGACGCTCCTCCCTGGCCCTCAGTTTATCTGTCACATTCCTTTCTCCTGGTTGGGGCCGCGGGGTTAGCCCGTCTGCCGACTCACCTGGTGCAGCAGCACGTTGGTGTCAGGCAGCAAGTAGTGCGGCTGCGGGCAGAGACTGCTGGCCGGGTCCAGGGGCTGCGGCTCGAGGACCGGCCCCTCGTGAGCACCGCCGCACGCCGCGCACCCAGACGCACCGCAGCCGATGTCGTCCCGCAGGTAGTGCTCGCGCACGATCTTCATTACGCCGCCCGCCCGAGTCTTTTTCAAGAAAGTCTTGGACTTGAGCATCTTGCCTCTCCGCGCGGAATCCGGACCCCGACAGCGCTCTTCCGGCGGAAATTGTCAAGCCAGGAGCCCTGTCGCACAACTACACCTCACCCGGAGGTTCGCCCCTTCCCGCTCCAGGGTATTAGTAAACTTCCCCGCCTCTCGCGGGAAAACTTCGAGACTGACATTGATTGGCTCTCTGAGGGCTGCGAGGATTGGACAAAAGCAGACAGATGGGCGGAGCCTGGAGCCATTTCCGCCTGCGAATTGGGCGGGTCCCCCCGAGGGACTCCAACTCCCAGAGTGCGTTGCTTCCCGCGCCTGGGTGCACCGGGGAGGTTGGGGTTCCGGCGTGGGCATATGCAGCTGCAGCTTCCCCTGTCCTCCCGGCGCGGAGGTGGTTGTCTTGGTTACGAGTCCTAACGGTCCCGGGCCTGAGTTTCCCTGCTGAGGGGCTGCAACCTGAGCTGCTGTCTGGAGACACCTTCGGCTCTTCTAAGTGTGGGCGGTGGCGACCGCTTCAGCCTTCGATTTGGAGTGATTGAAGCTTTCTAGGTACCTCGCGGTTACCCCTTCCTCCTCCCCGTGGGGCAAGGAATCCTCTGATGCTGCCATATTGGCGTTTTATTTTTCTCACCGCACGTGTGGGCAGCCCCATTCCCTGACCTTGTGTAATCCAGGTGATGTTGCCTGTCTTTGAGTTCACCTTTTCTTACCCTCGTCCCTTTAAAAACGAAGGAAGACGATCCAACCAAAGGTCTTGCCGTTTCCCCTCCACACACGTTTGTTTTTGTCCTATCCTTCGGTTTAGAAAAGCTGGTGTCTACAATACCGTAGTAATCTATTATGTCATATAGTATTAATATAGAAGAGTTGCTGAAATTTTTGTGAAGGGATAAGCAGTTTGATTTAGATTGATGAATTGTTCTTTTACTCTCTTGTTTTCATTTTGCAATCTATAAGTCTATAAAAGTGCTTTCTCTCACTATTTCCCTTTTTAAAACGTCTTCAGTGATGCCTCATTGCCGGCAGAATAAATTTGGAACATATTGAAACATCTAAGGCCGTCCACAGTCTTGATTATGTATGAGGAACAGCCCTTATGTGTGTGTGTGTTGGGGGTGGGGGGGTAGGGAAGAAATCACCACTCAAATTCACACAGACTTGGTCCAGCCCGACTACCACTATCCCCTTCTGTTGTTTTACACTTTCATCACTTCTGTACAACCTTAATACCTGCATTATTTTCCTTTTTATTACTTCTGTCCAAATCCTTTAAGATCCTAATTCTTACCTCTGTAACCTTCCCCTGACAAACTCAGAAGTAACTTCTCTATCTTGAAAATGTACTGTTTTTATTAGTAGCATTCCTGGGTACTAGTGATTTAGGACTTTATCCTTTATCTCATACACTTCTTTGTTTAAGTAAGAATCCTCCCCAGAAACTGAGTTTTTTTATTCATCAAAGATATGAGTTAATAATAGGATTTAATGAGTTTGATTTAATACGTTTGATTTGAGCAGTAATTTACCAATCTGTCCTGGATTTGAGGTTCTCCAGTTTGCCAACAATTACTTAGGAATCCGTAGTACACTTTGATATACTTTATGCATTCCACAGAGAATTTGAGTATGTTTCAATCAGTATTCTTTAACCTACAGAAAATCGGAAGTGGAATTGGAGAAGAAAAGTGACCCGTAATAATTAAAAATGTCTCGAAAAGTTGCCAAGGCATCAAAAAAACTGAATGTCTCTAGCTCTCTGGAATCCGAAGATATTAGTTTAGAAACAACAGTTCCGACAGATGATATTTCCTCATCAGAAGAGCGAGACAATAAAATCAAAATCACCAGGCAGCTAATTGAACGGAAAGAACTACTTCATAATATTCAGTTACTGAAAATAGAACTCTCACAGAAAAACATGATGATCGACAATTTGAAAGTTGATTATCTTACAAAGGTAAGATCGTGTATAAATGTTGCTCTCTATGTGCTTGATTGTTTTCAAACTGCAGGTAATTAAGAATTAAGTTTATGTAGATGTAATCTGAACTTGAAATGATGCATTTAAAATTTCAAGAAAATAATTACATATTTTGCATAGTTTAAAAAAGCTATTTTTAAAAGTAAAGGGGGAGTGAATACTATTTGTGTACCAAATAAAACATCTTGAAAGAAAGAATGACTTAAAGGTGGGGCAAGGATGAATTGCTTTTGTAGGCTCAACTATAAGAATAATCATTGTATTTACGTCATGGAGTTGTTGGGAGGATTAAATTAATCAATGCACTTAAGCTCTTAGATGCCTTATAATACTACTTAATAATAAGTAACAGAAGTATTTACACTTATGCAGCACTTATATCATTATTTATGTATCCCATGGTGCTTATGTATAGTTTTTCATTGTTGTAGTTTTCTGGTTGGGCTGAAAATGTAGGTTAAGTTAGCCATATTCCTGAGTTTATGACACGTAATCATCATTGATCTTTGTAAGATCACTTCTTATATGTTTATACTTTTTAACTCTGTAGTTCATTTCCCTTTCTCCTTCTCTCTCTTTTTCTTTTAACATTTGTTCCTTTTTAAAAAAGTTTTTATTGAGGTACATTTTGATTTACAGTACTCCATTAAGTTTCAAGTACAAGACATAGTGATTCACAATTTTTAAAGGTTATATTCCATTTATAGTTATTATAAACATTTATTCTTGAAAATGGGTATTTTTCTTATTTTTTCCCTTTACATTATGTGAATTGCATGTTTTGTTGTAGATTTCATTTCTTATGTAGTTTTTCGTCTCAACTCAGTGCTGTTTTTAGAATCATTCATGTTACCGGGTGTCCATCTGGTCCTTTGCTTTCCACTTGTACATAATTCTGGCATGCATCTACCATTCTGTCCACTCACCCCCATGGTGATGTGTACCCAGGTGGGTGCCACCTTTAGATGTTCTCTTATAGAGCTGTGCCACCATTTCTTTGACATATACTCCGGAGTAGAATTTCTGGCTCACAGGGTTTATGCATACTTCCAAATTGCTTTCCAGAGTAGTTCCCTACTCTACCTTTCTGGGGTTTTTGTCTGTGAGCAAAATCCTGCTTAAAAACCCCTTAGGGCTAATATGTTTGCTGTCAAATATGGGAAGAAATATGGTAGAAGAATTAATCCTCCATAATTCGTCAAATCCAAGGCATCTTGATTATAAGATGGACCATTACATGTATCTGTGCGGTCAAAAACTACCAAGTGAAACTGTTATGTGCTGTGGATTGTAAGATGCATTCCAGCTTCAGAGGTGAAAAATGTGAAAATGTGTGAGTCTGGAATTAATGGAGGAACTGTATTTTTAGCCATTCATTCATTCTCCAGAGCTTACTGATTGATTGACCATCAGGGATACAGAGATGAAAATGTCACATTCCAGCATTGCAAACAATAAATTTCCTTCAGCAGCTCCATGAAATGGTTGGGAGTCACTGGAACGGCAGTTTTCTGCTGAGCTTAAAACTGTTCTTGTTATTAGCATTTAAATGGTACGATTTTAAGTTACTGAGCTTTCTGTCATTGGATGCATTCAACTAGTCCTAAATGGTCAAGTGTCATGAATATTATTGGTATTTCTTCTGTGGAAAAAGATTGAACCAGCTGTCCAGTGCTTCAGGGATTAAATTCAGCTCTTAGGACCAGAAACTTGGAACACGGTGGCAGCCAGTAACAGAAATATGGAACCTGTAGTATAAGCAAGATAAGGATTTTATTTCTCTGGTATAACAGGAATCTGAAAATAGGTAATTTAGACCTGGTATGGTTGCTCCTTTTAGTCTTCTACGTGTCTGCTTCTTGCTTATGTTTTTCACCTCAAAATCAGAGATGACTGATTTGCTGACACTTTTGTGTCAATGCTATAGGTAGAAATAAGGAGAAGGGTGATGGGAAAATGGGGCCTTTGCCAGTGAGTCTGTCCCATTAAAGAGCTTTCCCAGAAGCTCAAGCCTGTGACCTCAGTTGACTAGGACTACATAGCATCCTGGTCAAGGAGAGCTCAGCTGGGACATGTAAGTTTTTAACTGGAAATATTGTTGTCACTAATGAAAATCAGAGTTACCTAAGAAAGAGGGGAAGACTTGATGTTGGGAGATAAGTGATGGTTTTTTCAACACATCACGGTCTTTTTCAGTTAGGAAATAGGTGAATCTACATAATCTAACATCTCTTCCCACCAGTATAGCAGCAATACAATGTTTATATTTATTACAGCTTTTTCCTAATGGTTCAGTTTATCACTGTGAACGTCTTGACCTGTGTTTATTTGATTTCTCCATGTCTAAAAACAAGCATATTGGTCCCAGGAAACATAAAAACATTGATTCCCACTTCCTCAGCTGCTTGCTGACTGAGACTTAGAAGGGGAGACACTTAGGCTGAACTTCCTGATACTAGAGGATTGTTAGCTTTGCAGTTTTATCCCCACTTGTTGCTGCCTGCATTTCCGTCCTTTCTCCACTTATTTTCTCCTTCCTTTCCTCCTCACTCTTCCTGCCTGTCAATTTTTGAATGCTCAAATCTCTTTTTTGTTTCTCTCTCATTAGAGATCTGTAGGTTCTTTACTGCTTAGGAAATGGAAGTGTGACTCTTCTAGCTTGAGTGTCTCTGAGTTGAGGGACTTAATCTAATAGTCAAAATTCTGACCCTGAAAAAAGCAGAAGTTTCTCTCCTTGTGGTAACAGTTTTCTTGATTTGTGAAATAGTAATTATGAGGAATGTGGTTACCGTTTGTTGATTTAAGACCTTTATTGAGACATGTTGCCAGGAATATAGCAATGAATATGACAGTCCTTTTTTTATGGAGATCGCATTCAAGTGAGAGACGTGATTTCTGCTTTGGATAGGAAGTTAGCAAACTTTCTCTGAAAAGACCTGGGCCAGACAGTAAATATTTTATGCTTTGTGGGCCACGTATAGTCTGGTACATATTCTTTCTTCTTTTTTTTTATCACAACTTTATAAATGTAAAACCTATTCTTAGATTGTGGGCTATACAGGAATGGGACGTGGGCTGGCTTCAGCCCATTACCATTGTATAGTAACCCTTGCTTTAGATTAAGTAGTCAGAGAAGCCATTCACAAATTTTAGGCAATTAGAATTACATGTCCTGATTTTTGTATGTAAAGTGGCACTGAAGTAATAGACTAAGGGCGGCTAAGGTAGAAGCGGAAGATAGTTTCTAGGCCGTTGCCTTATGTAAGACTCAAGTTTGTTTAAGCTTCATCTCTTGGAGCCATTTATTGAGAAATAGAAGACTGGGAGAAAACTGACGTGGGAGGTAAAATACAAGTTCTGTTTTGAACACGTTAAACTTTATATGCCGATTAGACTCCTAAGTGAGACTGTCACTTAGACTTTAGAGGAGAGTTCGTGACTAGAGGAGTGGGTGGGTGGGTGGATGTGTTTGTGTGTGTGTGTGTGTGTGATATACATCAGCGTGAGTATGTATGAGTTTAGATTGTGTTACCTGGGGAGAGTAGAGGGCCCCAAACCAAGTCCAGTGATAATCAAACATTTAAAACTGGGGAAGAAAATCCAGCAAAGGAAGCTGAGAAACTTAAGAGGATCCAGTGAGTTACAAGGAAAACCAAGAGGAGTATCATGTCAGCCAGAAGGGGATGAAGTGGTCAGCTCTGCCAAATCATGCTGTCAAGTAAGATGAGTCTACAGAATGAGCCACTGGACTGGGCACTATGGAGGTGATTGATAACTTTAACAAGAACTGTTTTGGGTATAGTGTGGGACAAAAACCATATAAAAGTTTTGCTCTGATGGTGAACAGAGAAAATGGTACTATAACAGAGGAACAGGTGTGATCAAGGGAGTGTGGTTTGTTATTGTTGTGTTTTTTTTTAATGGGAGACAAAATATGTTTGTTTAACAATAGGAATGGTCCAATAGAGAAGGAGAATTTGATGAAGCAAGAGGAATTCACATGAATGTCTTAAGGATTGACTGTTAAATTAATCTGTGTATTTTACAGGGTGAACAGCAATTGCCTGGGTTGAAAGGGTGAGAGTAAAGAATTTTTTAAACAGGCTAAGAGTGGAATCAGGTGCATGAAGGCTTAAGCGAGAGAACACAACATATTTGGAGGATGACAAGCACTTATTTTGGCTGGAACAGAGTTTTCTTTTAAGCTAATGACAAGAGATGTGGTTGGCAAGGACCAGATCAAAAAGGAAAGGTATAGTCTGTCATGTAGTTTGGAATTTATCATGAAGACAGTCAGGATCCTCTGAAGGATTTAAAATGGGAGAAATAAATTTTTTGTTGGTTTGTTTTTTTAAGTCACTTCAGGTGTTTTTTTTTTTTTAATAGGAGTGCTGGGGATTGAACCCAGGACCTTGTGCATGCTAGGCACGGGCTCTATCACTGAGCTATTTCCCTCCTCCTGGAGAAATACACTTTTGATAGCATTTTTAAAAGATAAAATAAAGGAAGATAGGCTTGGAAATTGACAAAATTGAAGGCAGGGAGACCAGTGAGGAAACCATTATAATAATCCAGGTGAGAGATGATAGGGATCTAACTGAAGACTTGTCAGCAGGTATTACAGAGGATGGTACAGCTTTGACAGCTTTGACAGCTTTTATGGAGTAAATCAAGAACAAAAAACAATGATGTCTGTTCAGAATAAGCAATGAGGGAGAACTAGTTATATCAAACATGACTCAGATTTCTTTGCTTTGTCGACTAGGGAGATGCAAGGAATATAAGATTGAGGTTAATGACTTGTTCCGCTTTGGAGGACATTTATGTATCACCCACGTGGTCATCAGCTGAAGGTGTATAATAGAAATACTTATTTGGAGTGTATTTTTTAGGCAGGGTCTGGCCTGGAAATAATTACCTGGGCGAGGCAGCAGCATAAAATGCCAGTTGTCAGAGAGTTTCTCAGTGAGATTGCGGTAAGGGAAAAAATAATTTTAGTGACAGCCTGACAAAAAACCATTTAAAGGCAGCAGTTTCAAAGCATAGTTTAACAACCATTTGTATGGGCAGACCTTGTAGTTTGTAATGGACACAACCATTACACAAAACTTCTATCCATTTTTACCCATTTCTTTCAACTGCTTTTTTAATATTTAGTATTTTTCAAACAGAAGGGTTTTTTTTTAATGATAAATTTGAAAATTGACCATATAATTTACCTTTTTCTCTTTATGAAGATTGAAGAATTGGAGGAAAAGCTTAATGACGCACTTCACCAGAAGCAGCTACTAACGTTGAGATTAGACAACCAGTTGACTTTTCAACAAAAGGATGCCAGGTAAAAAATTTTAAAAAACAAGCATACCTATTTAGCAGTTACAAGTAGCATCATTACCTATTCATGCATGTGATTTTGTTAGCTAAAATGGAGACATTTTAAATTAAAGATGGTAATAATTTTTACATCCAGACCAACAAAAAACGACCTGTTGCAGTACACAAAATACAAAAAGCCAGAATTCAACATTCATTCAACAAACACTGCTGATGTAAGTGACCATTAATGACAGTGGAAGCTCTCTAAACTCACCACCACTTAACTGGCTGTCTGGATTAACCCTTCTTCATTTGGCCTATAAAACATACAGATACATTTTTATGGCACATTGAATTCTCCTGGGTTAAGGTACTTTCGGTTTGCCTACATATGTTCTCCAGCTCAGCTATGTGTTTATCAAGAGTCTGATGTGTTTACTCTCAAAGATGCATATGCCAACTCTACTTACTATACTTATATCACTTAATTATAATTATATTTAAAAATGAGTATCAAAAAGATATGTCATTTCTCTGCAAACTGTAATGAATTATTTGGAAAGATTTAATAATAGTGAGTGACTAAAAAGATTATCAAATTAAGTGTAAGCAAGGGATGTTTAGAGATTAGGGACAAAAATCAAATCTATAAAAAGTATCCTCAAATTTCTTCCCAAGTGTCTTTTTAAGGTCTCCTGCTGTTGTAAAGAAATTGAACTGGAAAACATGAAAAATGATTTACACAAAAACAAAGCATACCTCCATGTTAAAAAAAAATCTAAATCATATGTAGAAAGTTTTACAAATAAATGTTTATTTCTATATTTTAATTAGAGGTAAATGTGCAAAGTATGTATCTTTTCCCTTTATAAGTTTTCACTGTTTAACTGATATTTTAAAAAATTATCTGACCAATTATAAGGCACTTTCACATTAGATCAGTGATTCTCAAATTTTAGCATGCATCAGAACCATGTGGAAGTCTTGTTAAGAAAGAATGTTAGGTCCCACCCTCAGATTCTGACTTGAGTTGAGTCCTGAGAATTTGCA